TCTTTCCCTCCATTTCTTCTCAAATTTTTCTTCCACTCTCCTAATCTTAAGCCATTAGCAAACATTTGAAGAAGAAGAAGATCATGGGGTTGTTCTTTTGCAACGAAACTCAGAAAAAGTTTGAACTCGAGTTACAACTTTATTTAAGTTCATGTTCTTTTGTAAAACTTGAGTTTAAACTCGAGTTTGGGGCTAAACTCGAGTTTAAGTTTTCCTTTCAACTCGAGTTCATAAACTCGAACTCAAGTTAATGAACAATATTTTTTATATTCTTAAAAATGTCATAACTTTTTCGTTTTAATTCTGATTGAGATGATTTTTTTATATGCATTCACAACGAAAAGACAAATAAAACTCCACCCATATACCCTATTAAAATTTTTCATCACCATTGAGTTTTTATTAAAATACTGTTTAAATACAAATTTAAGTTTTGACACACCCAAACACAAACTCAAAAAGATTCTCAATTCAAATCATAACTCAAATATGCACATCCAAACACAAACTCAAGTTATAACTCAAACTCAACTCAAGATCATCACTCAAGTCACTCTAACTCAAAAATATAAAAGAACAATCCCCAAATGTCTTCAGAGGAGTCTAGCCAAGGATCTCTCTTTAAGAGTATAAACTATAAACCCCCTCTCTCTTATTTTCTAGCAAAGTTTAAGATTTAGAATGTCATTCTCAAATTCTTCTTTTACTCTTCTAATTTCAAGTTATTAACAAACCTTAGAGGAAGAAGAAGGTGATCAAAGTGTTCTAGGAGGAGTCTAACCAAGGATTTTCTTCAAGGGTATAAACTCTAAACCTTTCTCCTCTATTTCTCTACCAAAGCTTAAGTTGTAAATCATGGATGTAATTTGTGGTTCTTGAGGAAATATGTTTGTAATAAAGGCGTGTGAGTTTTATGGTAGTTTTGGTGTGTTTTGAGGTTAGTTTGATTAGTGATATGTGGTATGTTTATGCTTGATTTAAGTTTGGTTTATTTTGGTTAGAGGTAAAATTTTTCGGCTACTTTGAACGCGAAAATGAGGATTATAGAACGAGATTTTTCAGTTGTTCTACCTTTGAACTTATAGTTCTCGATATTTTGAACGTTTTTCTGTGCCTGTGAATAAACTCAGTTTTAATTCTAAATACAAGTTTTACGCTGTTTTTTAGAACACTGCAAAGCTGTCTAAAAAACTGTTTCAAAACTGGCAGCCACTGTTTGCAGCCAAACGAGCCCTTTAGAGGCTGAAGCTCAGTTTTCTCCAAACACGAAAATTTTAGATCTCGACGAGATGAAGAATTCTCGTGAAGAATATATTTTCAAAATCTGACTCTAAGATGTAGTAAAACGCAGATTTCTGAAACTGTATAGTTTTAACAAGACAAAACTAAAACAGTTTTGGTTTTTAATGAAAAAGTTCATCAAAGAACCCGAGATGTGATTTTAGTCAAATATTATGGTTTTAGACCTCGTTTTAACAGAAAATATTCATGAAAAAAGTTTTTGAGAACCGTTTATAAGACATAATTTGACAGTGGTTTATAAACTAACTATAAAATGACTTGTGAAATAGTTTCAAAAGTCGGCATTTCACATAAATTTATTTAGACCTGATAATGAGAATTTAGTACTTGTAACTAAATAAATAAGCAATTAGTTTATGAAAATTGAACAATGGTTTCTTTTAAAACCTTAATAGTTTTCGAACAAAAATATTCAAATGGGAACTTACGAGTCCAATATGTTAGGTTCGTAGAATTTAGCAGTTAGAAGCGGGTCCATCGCTTGTATTTGTTGAAGAACTTCCGCTCAAGTCTAAATTTCAACAGTCTAAGAGTTAGAACGTCGTTATTAAGTTTCTAGGCCGAATTGGGTCTTAATACCAGAACAAGCCCAATAAGATAAATATTGGAGAATTAGTTGCTAAATTAGATAATTGATTTTCAATCTAATCAGATGTATGTTAAAGACAATTAAGGAAAATAAGATTTTGAGGATTTAATAAATTGATCCTTATAGTAAAATTTTACGATCCTTTAATAAAGAAAATGTAAACATGTCTTAAGGAAATGATTAGATTTCTTTATAAGTTTGCTAAATTAGAATAACAAATGATTGTTAATCTTACACTCTTAATGGGTGTTCATTTTCAGAAATAAGCAAGTAAGATAATAGACTATTTGGCGAATAGTGAATTTCAGCTCTGTAAAACAGGTAAGTCAGAATCTCGCCTACAGTATGAATAGATTTTAAATAAAATATTACACATGATATATACGTATGTTTATGCTTTACATTATAGTATGTAATGTCATGCCATGCTGCATACACCTTAATAAGTTAAGTGGAACTTATAAGAATAATATCAGTTGAGTGTCGTACAAACCTCAAAGAGAGAGGTAACTAAGACTTGGCGAGGGAGGTAGAAAAAAAAGAATATAGTAAATTAAATCATGGTGTCGTTGGGACCTTACAAATAGAGGTGTAACTCGGCCGGGTAGGCTTGGGTTGAGCTTGAAATTTAGGCCGAGCCGCACAGGTCTAGGTGAGGAAAATTTGGGCCGCAACATCCCCATTGGCCCACAAACTAATGGGTTACCTCGGGTAGGCTGAGGAAACAAAGAAAATCAAAGTTATTTCTTTCCCCATAAATCTCAAATTTTCTCCATACCCAGATGAGAGAACATACAAAAGATCCCAATAAACCAATATATATATATATAAACTTATTTTTTTCTCATAATTTCCCAGCAATCAAAAAGGGTAACAAACAAAAACTCACGAACAAAGATAGAAAAAGAATCAAATAATGACACATTAAAAGCAAAGTAAGTACCTTCTGGGGGTGAACCAGAAAGGTGTAGCATGAGAAGCACCACTGGAAAAACTCGCCATGGGTGTCTCCGCAGAGACTTGGCCTTTCGAGAAGGCTTTTTCTTCTTCTTTGCTTCGTCTTGAATTACCATACAATAACAGAGAAGAAGAAGAAGCGGAAGCGGCAGACATCAACTGTGAGAAGAAGAAGAGGAACGGAGAGTCGAAGACAGAGAGACTGAGAATTGAGAAAAAAAAACTGAGAACTGAGAAGTGAGAAATAAGGCGGCGGCGAGGGGAGGCGAGGGAGCCAGGGAGGCGAGGGAAGTGAGAAGAAAAACTGAGAATTGAGGCGGCGGCGAGGGGAGGCGAGGGAGTGAGAAGTGCAAGAGAACTGAGAAGTGAAAGTGATTAGGGATTTAGGGTTTTTTTTAACACCCTCCATCTTCACACAGACGGGTCGCGGTGTATCGAGTCACATGATGCCCGCCCTGCCCACCAACCTGCATAGTACGGGTTGGGGCTATTTTAATCCGAAAAAAATAAAAATAAAAATAAAAAACCATGATTTTGGGTCGAGTCGGGTCGGCGGGTTAGTCGGGTTTCGGACCGAACTCTTACAGCCCTACTTGCAAACCCTCACGTCCTGTTGATTATGCACAAATAGTACGAGCACTCGAGCCCATCAATAAGCAAGATGAGATCAGATAATAAGACTTTAATAAGACATGATCATAATTAAGCATAATTGGTTCATGCATATTTATTAATTTGAACTTACAGTTATTTTACGATAAATAGTTCATACTTGCTGAGCAATAGCTCATTATAGAATATTTATACTATAGGTAAGCAACCCTAATGCCTGATGGACTAATTGCGAGGCAACAGATTAACGATGTAGAGATTGGGAAATGAATATCACTCGCAATTATTTCTGCAAACAATTTAATGTGATAAATAATTTTACTAATTATGACTCTAAAACTATATGTTAAATGACCATGTTATGACTGTTAAGTATATGTACGTAAGCAATACTTAAAGATCAAGTATATACATATATATTTATGTTTTGAAAGATGAATATGTTGAGGTATAAATATTGTCATAATTAAGAAAGAAATTCAAAATTTATGTTTACTATAATAGTTTTTTTTTTAAATGTTCCAAAAATTTTAAGATATTCCAACAAATATATATTAGTGTTAGCTAAAATGATGGCCATTTAAGAGGGTCATCACACGATCTCTGAGGAGGAACGACATGATGGAGATCGTCATTGTTTACGCGACATCTTGCTCGAGATCTCTAGTAGCTTCTCGATCTTTGACATTTGCAATGAGAAGCTTGACCAAGACAAATGTAAAATCGCAACGGAGAAAGACAACAATAGATTAATGAAGAGAGAGAGAGAGAGTAGAAAGAGAGAACAGGGAAGATAGAGATCTCGAGAGAGGTGTTAGTGGACGAGCATTTGCTGCATTTTCGGGGGACGAGCATCGGCTAGAAGAGAGAGAGAAGGGCAGAAGAAGAAGAGAAAAGAAAAAATAAAGATAAAAATAAGAGTAAAATCAGAAAAGAAGTATCAATTTTAAAATTTAAATTTAACATATGCTATTATCTATCTAACATAAAAAAAATGTTATTTACTTTATTAACATAAACAAAATATGCTAAATGCTACATTTCTCGGCCTATGTTGTCTTGATCAATTGTGTGTCTGGTCAGGCTAAGATCCTTTTAAGGTTGAATAACCTTTTAAAAAAAAAAAACCAAATTATAAAATACCAATAGTGTTAAATATCACCTACTAATATAAAGTGAATTTTAAAAAATAAAATTTACTAGTTGTGCTTACCGTCTATTAGTGATGGTGCTTATCCTGACCAAAAAAGTTCTTTTTTCGTATGTTTTTATCCGCTAGTGTTACAAATACTAAAATCATCATACACGTGACAACATTCAATGTTACTGATAAATGATGTCAGAAGCATTTCGTTGCATTTGGCCAAAGAAGATGAGAACCACAAGCATATATACAGAAAAGAATATTCTCTATAAATACAACTACTATTGATGCATCACTTGTTACAGAAAACCATATTTATAACACTCAAAAATCCCGTGTATTTAATGGAGTATAATTGTGTAGTCTCTTACCCTTAGGTAGTGTATATACTTAGTTCTAACATCATTCTCTTGCTATTTGTGTACTCAAAGAAGGATGACTTTCAGTATGGTTTTGGTTACTGGTGAGCTGATCCATTGTACAAGCAATAAACTCACTCAAGTAACCATTTTTTCTTTACAAAAAAAAAAGGAAAGAAAATGTAAATCACACCAAAATAAGAGAAATATAACCCCAAAAAAAAAAAAAAAAAACCCATTTCTAAGTTGCTATCTTTGTAGTTCTTGTTTGCAAAGAGGGCAACAAGATATAATTCTGAGCCATTGGTCTACACACTTGAGGTGGAATGTATGGGAACATGGTAACTGCCTCACTTCTTCCTTTTCTTTATACTTGGTTAGGCAAATGCAACATTGCTGTCAACAAGAAATAAGCAGGAAAAAAAAATTAATGAGCTCTAGAAACTAAAATTTTATGTAACTATCCTTTTCTGAGACCAAAATGGCTTTAGAGGTGTTTCAATGTCATACTGATAACTTTTAATCAGTGGCGGAGTTAAATTTCTACTTCAATAGGAACAAAAATAAAATTAAGTAGAGGCGTACGTGCAAAAAAACCATATCTCAACAGGGCAACGCTTTAAAGTAATAAATGTTTAAACGTTATTTAAAAAAATAATAAAGTGGGGCCATTAGTCCCCATTTGGCCTCAAGTGGTTTCGCCACTGCTTTAAGTGTTGAAGAGCTTCCAAAAAAGTCATCTAGGAAGGGTTTTCCTAAAAATTTGAGAATTAATTTAGTCTTATATAAGTATTTGTTATTACATTTAAATTTTTATTAGCAAATGACAACAAAAATATCATTTGTCTTATGAATCCTTTAAAAGTCTTTTATATACAAATGATAACTTAAAAGCTTCTCTTATTCTATTAAATGGACCTTAAATATATGTTAAGAATAAATAATCAGAAAACACAGAAAACTTCCCATATAAAGAAAAAAAAGTAGTTATTTATTGTAAAGATTATGGGTATGTGACTTACTGGATCTTCATGAGTATTGTCTGATTTGCAATCTGTATTATTAGTTCCTAGCTCCAATTTGTTGTCAACTGCCTTGTATTTCCAACTGGGTAGCTCAGAAATTTGGTCATCAGATGCACCTTTATCAATGGACCCCATGTTCATGTTGTATCCAAGAAGGCTACTTATGAGTGGCACACAACAACAAAGCAGAAGGAACAACAGGAAGGGGAAGGAGTAGCTAATGGCGTTCCAAGCGAGCAGGGAGATGCAGAGGACATGGAGCATTGGGGCGCGGCGGAACGAGCTGAATCGGGAATCGAACACCCAAACATTGCCCATCACAAACCATATTGCAAAGAAGAGCTCTAGTGAAGTCCTGCACTTGTTCATCAAGTGTGTGCTCCTACACAAGTTACACATAACAAACTCAGAAAAGGACAATTTAATTTGTGTTTTGAACTTTGTCTACTTTCACGGTTTTATTTGCCGAATTTTTAATGATGTTAGCACACTTGACATGTTCATTATTATGTAATTATATGTCACAAGTTGGGAGCTTTTCTGATAGGTCCTAAAAAAATGAACTACCGAAAAGTCTATATTTTCAACCGTTATATTTGTATCACAAATTATAAACTCTACATATTTTTTTAAAAACCGACCCTATTATTAGGGAAGCCCTATTAGAGAAACTCCCTCATAAGTTTTGTTCATTGAGTTTTTTTCTAAAAGAAAAGATTTTTTGTATTGTTAGTCCTCGAATTTATTTATTTTGGCAGTTTTAGTCCCCAACAAAATCATGATAAATCACAATGACTTTTGAACTTTAATGAAATTAGTCACATATATCGCGTGATAACTTGAAATTTTACCATGCAAATCTTTACTGTCTTCCAAAATCCTCTAAAATCCTTGAAAATCATGATATTCTCAAGTATCCTAAATTTTAGGACTAGGGACTAAAACTGCTAGGAAAAGAAATTCTTTAGGCTAACCGATCAAAAAAAAAGTTTAGAAACCAAACCGTCACGCCTTAATTTAGGAGCAGAGAGTGCCAAAAACTCTTTAACAGAATTTAGGTACACTTGGAAGTATAAAGTTACCTGGATTCTTCAACTCCTCTTTGTTGCTCTATATCAGAAAGAGTGAAACCATCTCCTTGAGTCAGATAATGATATCTGTAACGCCCAAAGAGTAACAAAAGATTGAGAAAACACCCAATATCATAACCAACAATCCACATCCTCATAGGCCAAACTGGCCTCTCCTTCTTGGATATGGCCAGAGTAATCGTTGTGATGCTAATTTGAACAAGTAAAGCAATGAGCTCTAGCATCATCCAAGTACTCGAATTGAAAGGGTTCGACCCGAGATCCGACCTCGACCCCGACCCGTTTTGGTAATGGAACACTCTCCTCAAGAAGGTGAACCACCTTGCTCTAGACACCCTCATCGCCATTCTTATCAGCAATGAAGGCGGGGCCCGGGGAGCCCTGTTTCGGGCAGTCGTCGCGGGAATTCGATCTCCGCCGGTGACGGAGCTCGATGAGAATATTGAAATCGTATTGATGGAGTTGCACAGGGAGTCTGATGGAATGAAGTAACGAGTATTCATGGTTGTCAAAAAACTCCAACCTTTTGTGGTCTAACTAGAGTTTGGTGCAGCCACTATTGCAAGACAACAAACTTTTCTCCTTGCTTATCCTGTATATTTTATTATACAAAAACAGATTATCCAAATTCTCAGTTTTGGACTAGAATTGTTGACAAGTATATTTAGAAACGAGTGCGTTTTCAAATGATGTTTATAGAAATGAACAGGGAAAATAATATGAGATTACCATTTGGTTCAAGAACCTTGTTCTTATCGAATCTTCAGAAAATTGATGCTTGCCCAAATTAAAAGAACTTCCCAGCTCTACACCAAGGCCTCAAACTTTATTGGGTATGAACCAAAATCTTTCCTTTTGAACCGTAACCGCCAATTCTCTCAACCAAAAATCATTGGAAAGATGCACTAGAGGCCAAAATCTCAACTGGGTATTAAAAGATGGGCCTTAGAATGAACACTCAATTGGAAGAAATTTCGACAGTATATATGAGGACCAGGCAAAAGGAGATGAAGAAAATAGGTGTGAAGAAGGTATCAAGAAGGTGAAGTTGGGTCTCAGATGGTGACCAAGAATCAACTGAAAAAAGGGCTTTTGCTTTGATTCCAAGGGAATCAGAGAGAGAGAGATAGAGAGAGTTTGGAGGGAAGCCAGGCCAACCGTTGGCCTAACTTCTCTCTGGGTTTTGGTTATTAAGGAAGCAAAGCTGAGAGAGAGAGAGAGAGAGAGAGAGAGAGCAACTGCTTCTTCAACGGCAAATCCCTATCGATTACGAAATTAGCAACAAAGCAATAGTTTTTATTAATTACTTTTTTGGTTTTCCCGTGAAAACAACATCTGTGCTTTGTTTGTTTTCACCTTGATTTTAATTGGGCTAGAAACAAAGTTTCATTTGGATTATTACTACTTATGTTTCATATTGAGGGTTCTTTTTTTTTTTTTTTTTTTTCACTTTTACCACTTGACCTTTTCGCAATTTAACAAAGTTGCTATATCAATTTTTATTTTTAATAAATTAATGGTAAATTTAATAGAATGTTATAGACAGCCCTGCATCTATAAGGGCGGTTAAAATTTGGTAAAAAATGAGCTCATGTAATATGCATGAACATTCTACCTGAATTATAATTATAAGGTATCGTTTATTTTACCGATTTGAGTTTTATTACAGTAAAAAACTTTTAGAAATAATCACATCTAACTTTTTTGTTACAGTAAAAAGCTCTCACATAAAGTCACATCTAAACTCGAATTAAAAACTCGAATCAACGAACTAAACGAGCCATAAGAGTGACAATTTCCTTAGTTATGTCTCCCATCTAGTCGAGTCGATCACCGTCGGTGTGGGTTGTTTAGTCTCGTTAAGAATTTCCTTAAGCCGTGTAGATGTCTTCTATACGAGGGGTTTGGTCTCAGTCAAATGGGTTAATCCGTCGACTGTTTGGTCTTTTTCAACGAGCTTTGACCATGCTCGATTTTTACGTGTCGATCGGGCTTTTCTCCTTTGAGTATCGGCATTAGTATTCATCCTTATGCTACCATTATTTTAACTAGTAGGTCCAATCGTTCGGGTCGAATTCCATTACATTCGGGGTCATTTTCGATTTTATGTGGAGTTTGTATTCCATTTCGTTTATTAATGAAATTTCCCTTTATTAAAGAAAAAGTTATAAGAGTTACTGTGATCATTCGGATATACTCAAAAATACTTTATCACGTTTTGAGAATAATTTACCAAAATTTACATTGAAGCAACTACTTTTGATTTCCAAAAAGCTCTATGGGGCAAAAGCAAAAAATGCACTTATATTAACTTATTTGAATTCTGGCGGGTACAGTGTCTTATATTAAGATTTTTATGGTGGGAGGTCTGAGGTTGGCCACCTAATTCAAGTAGCAGATTTGCATAAATACCATGATCCTCTTTGGTTTATATTTTGCAATATTGACCACATAATATCCAAGCTGTGGGGTATAAGCCTGATGTTCTGTGGGACCCTCCTTTTGTATCCATTGGAGGAAGGCCACGTTGGCTTATCTTTGCATGACCATGATGAATATTTTATACATTTACCATTATTTGTAAATACTAAAGATAATTCCTTAATTAATTGGAAATTATTTTCCAGAATGAGAATGAGAAAGGGATAAGAGCCTTCAGTTTTATCTCTTAAAATTAGGAGGACAAAGAAAGCTTTTCTACGTCATCAAAATCACATTCAGATGGAAATCTGGAGTTTGGCGGCAAGTCCCACATGGGTGTCACAAGAATTGTGACAACCTTGGCCCATTGAATTATGTTGTTGATTGGTCTTTTATATGTATATATATTAATGGAATATGTGTATTATATGATGTTGTCGTTATTATAGCCAAATTTAAAATTCATTTTACTTGTTGATGATGCTTCCTCCCTTCATAAATGATGATTTAGAAAGGGTGATTTTGGTCATCAAAACTCAAAATTAAAATTTTGAAAATTTATGCTTCTAGATTAATGTATTTTCAATGGAAATTTAGATAACTTGAGAGAAATAAATCTACTAAGTATCACCTTCAACGACTATGTAACGTCTGCTAAACTTAACTAGATGCATTTTAATTTTAGATGATAATAATTGAATAAACAAATCAAACTGTCTAGTTAAGAAACACGATTTGAACACATTTGACTATTCAATATTATAATTGGCTACGTGTAAGAAAACAGTCATTTTCTAATGAGCAAAAAAAATGTAAAGTATGTTAACAAACAAACAAACAAATGGTTAATTCTACATGTCGTAACTGACTAGAATTTGACCGTCTTTAAATCCAATCTTAACCGACTTTTAGCCTAAATATACGTGTCAAACTCTTAAGATTCATGGTCTCTTTTGAGAGAAACGTAATCACGTTATGAGACCGGACAGAACACAAAGTTAAGGAACTTTGGCAACCTCTTGAGATCAAAAGCTGATTTGCATGTAATTTCTAATATCTGAATTTATTTCAGGAGAAATACCATAAATAAATACTGAATCTTTAGTACTCTAATAATATGTTTTTTGATCATTCATTTGTTTAGTCTTGTTTACTATAACACATTCAAATAATTGTATTATGTTGTTTTTTTAGCACTATACCTAATTACAGTATAACTGAAGGGGTTTTGTGACAATTTTAAACCATGCACAAAACGAAGGCCTCGTTCACTTCACAGATTCTAGTTTTCAATTCGAACTGAGATGTAACATTTTCTGAGAGTTTTTCACTGTAGCAGAAAAAATTAGATGTGACATTTTCTAATAGTTTTTTACTGTAAAAACCTAAAATTAAAAACTCAAATCGGTAAAATGGACTAGACAGAATTAAGTAAAGGAAAACAATATTTGGCTCTGATTTTTTACGCCGGGTTGTTTTATTTGTTAAGATAAATAAACGTGGTTTGCAACTTTTTTTTAGTCTTCTTTGGAGTGCGGAGCCAAGTCGCTACATGTACGGAGTGTAATAGCAGGATTTGGATAAATTCGGGGTTAAATAAAGAAATATTGTTATAAATAAGTAAATAACAACGGCTCCTTAAATATAATGAAAAACGAAACTCGTTCTCATTTTGGAGTCTACCTTGCATTTATAATATCAGATTTTTCAAAAAACCGATACTAGAAGTAGGATCTACATGTCTCAATGGGTGTCTGACTAATCAAATTATATAAAATCATTTCATAATAAGCATAAAAGAGTTAGTCAAAAAGTAATTCAAATTTTTATACGACGTGACATGATATGGTTATTAGACATTAATCTAAACACTAAAATTAGACAGAGAATTTGAGTCCCAAAAATTGAGTACATACTGTCTTCAAATGTGAGTTAGTTAAAAAGCAATTTAAATGTGATTGAGTTTTTCTCCGAACATGTCATTGTACGGGAGCCTCTTTAACACTGGTGTCCGCTTTTAATTTTTATTTTTTTTTATGTTATTAGAAAAATCAAAGAGAACAAATAGGGAGGAAGTTAGACTTTGGTTGCACTCAAAATTCACGCATTTTCCGCGGTTGAAGATTCGACTTGGGCCCTCTTTATTGGCACCAAGAATACGAAAGCTTGTTTGCTTGCATTTCATAGGAAAAAAGGAAAACATTAAATTGCTTAAGATAGGATTCCCAGCAAGTTAAGTGAACATGGTTTTCTCTTCTTCTTAGGTTTTGTTTTCCATGTCACTTCAAATTAAGTATTCTTACTTCAAATTACTACTACTTATGATATGCAAATTTTGGATGAAGACATGAATCATGTTTGAGTGCTATAAAAGATAAAATATATAGCTTTAAGGTGGGGGCAAAAAGAAAGAAGCCCGCGTACGTATCTTTTTGTTTTCTTCATTAAATTAATGATGATCACATAACAAGTGGGACTCATGGATTAGACTAATCACTAGTTACCACCCTGCAGTTGATAGCAAACATATTTCCAGTTTAAAGTTTAAAACTAGTCGTCACAAGTGTTTTATTTATTTATTTATTTTTCCTTTTTGCCCCTAATAATTTATGTAGATGTAGAAATGAAATTATTTCCAATAAAATTACAAATTTTTTTTTTAATAAAAATTAAACATATAAAGTTTATATAGAGATTCGTAGTAATTCATTAGGATGAAAAAGTTTTCTAAGACAGAAAATGGCACAACTCAAAGCTATCTAATCTTTCTCATTAACTCAAAACCGGCGTTCTCTTTATAATGAAAAACTATGGAGTTGTTCTTTTAGAGTATAACTTAAGTGTAGTTTTTGAGTTATAACTTGAGTTGAAGTTAGAACTTGAATAAAGTTGAGTAAAATTGAATAAAGTTGAAACTTAAAAGAACGTGAACTTGAATAAAGTTAAAACTTGAGTTGTCTTTTTTTGAGTTTTTTGGATAAAAGAACATGCCCTAAGTCACCCGAATTCACAAATGTGAAATCTCTAAACTACCCAATACCCATAGTGAAATTTTAGTCAGGAGCCTCTGTGTATGTCAATAATCATCAAGAAAATAATTAGGGTTACACAATTTAAGACTACTGTAGTTAACAACACAGTCAAGAAAATAACATTCTAAGAAAACCAAGAAAAAAAAAAAACATCATTATCAATTATTTACCGCAAGCTAATCAAAATGCAGTACCCAGAATTTCAAAATTTTTTAGTGCTTTTTTTTTTTTTTTTTTTTTTTTTTTTTTTTTTTTTTTTAAAAGAGAAGAACCGTACTAGTGTGTTCTCAACTTCAATTAGTATAGTTCATTTTGGGTTAGTTCAAATTCAGCAGCAAAATTATGAGAAATAGAGTACAAGCCAACCGAAATATCTAAGAAATGAACTATATATATCGACGTACCACAATAATTGAATTGCTCCAATATTCATCAGTAGTATAATTAAATTGCATTGTTTTCTTCATTAAATTAATGATGATCACATAATGAGTGGGACTCTTGGATTAGACTAATCACTAGTTATAACCCTGCAGTTGATAGCAAACATTTTTCCAGTTTAAAGTTTTAAAACTATTCGTCACAAGTATTTTATTTTATTTTATTTTTTTCCTTTTTGCCCCTGGGAATTTATGTAGATGTAGAATGAAATTATTTCCAACTTTTAACTGTTATTAAATGATCGAGAGCAATAAAATTACAAAAAAAAAAAAATTAAATAAAAATAAACACAGTTTTTATTGAGATTCGTATCAATATGAGACTGCATTCTCATCGTTATGACTCCGTTCATTTCGCTGATTCAAGTTTAGAATTCGCGTTTTACTACAATAAAAAGTTCTCACAAACAATCACTTCTAACTTTTTTACTACAGTAAAAAGCTCTCACATAAAATCACATCTCAACTCGAATTAAAAACTCGAATCAACGAACTAAACGGGCCCAGTAATTCATTAGGATGAAGAAGTTTTCTAAGAGAAAAAATTGCACAACTCAAAGCTATCCCCCGTTCACTTCGCTGATTCGAGTTTAGAATTCAAGTTTTTCTACAATAAAAAGCTCTCACAAACAATCACATCTAACTTTTTTGCTACAGTAAAAAACTTTCACATAAAGTCACATCTCAACTCTAATTCTAAACTCAAATCAGCGAAGTAAACGGGAATCTTTCTCATTAACCCAAAAGCGGCGTTCTCTTTATAATGAAAAACAAGTCACCCGAATTCACAAATGTGAAATCTCTAAACTACCCATAGTGAAATTTTAGTCAGGAGCCTCTGTGTATGCCAATATTCATCCAGAAAATAATTAGGGTTACACAATTTAAGACTGTAGTTAACAACGCCGTCAAGAAAATAACATTATAAGAAAACCAAGAAAAGAAAAAAGAATACATCATTATCAATTATTTACCGCAAGCTAATCAAAATGCAGTACCCAGATTTTCAAAATTTTTTAGTGCTTTTTTTTTTTTTTTAAGAGAAAAAAGGAGAAACAAGAGAGATAACCGTACTAGTATGTTCTTAACTTCAATTAGTATAGTTCATTTTGGGTTAGTTCAAATTCAGCAGCAAAATTATGAGAAATAGAATACAAGCCAACCCAATTATCTAAGAAAGGAACTATATATATCGACGTACCAAAATAATTGAATTGCTCCAATATTCATAAGTAGTATAGTATTAAATTGCATTGAATTGAATTGCTCCATTATAATTGAATTGCATTGAAATTGTTTGAAAATATATTTTTTTTCATGTACGCATGTGAGGAAATGCCGATTTCAAATGGACCCAAAATTACTTTCTGTTTTTGTCAATAAGAAGATTAAATTCAATATCCTACAATACTCCCTAATGATATCTATATTCCAATATGGTAGGAATTGTATTTGTTCGTTTTCCCTTTTCTAATTTTTTTTTTTTTTTTTTTTTTTTTTTTTTTGCAGGTGTTTAGATTTAGAATATGACCTTGGTGTGACTAATTCAGAGTAGGTTCAATTTGATTAAAGAAACTAGCATAGCAATCGTTCAAGATCTTTTCCATTAATGTGTATCGGTTTAAATTTCATGGTTTCTATTCTTGAGAAATATCATTGTAGTGTGATTATACAAAAAGTTAGTGGGATGTTTGTAACTTTCTTGGTTATGCACATATGAAATCCGGAAATTGGATTTGTTTCAACCGATTAGGTTTGTTTGTATTATTTTGTTTTGCATTATAGTTTTTAACGTTTTGCTCCATTGTGCGGCTTCTTGTCGTTTGTGCTACTCTTGACGTCGTTTAAGGTATAATTTTGTTGTAGGTAAGGGTTTTTGGTTTTGGTTTTTTCTCCATGTATTGTCGTCTGTCCTATACTTTGTTGTCTAATTTTGCAGCAGTTCTTATTTAGCGTTCCTTTTTTTTTTTCTTTTTTCTTTTTTGTCTTTTCCCCTTATGGTTGACGTTTATTATCGTTTCTTGTATTTTGTCGTTTACCATTCCTTATGTCGTGTGTTTGGTTTGTTGACATCTACTTTCGTTTTCCTCTTTATTTATTTATTTATTTTTTAAATTTCTTTCCTTTCATTTTTACTTTTATCAAGTTGAGGTTGCCTTTTTTTAAAGGAAAAATATTATTTGGGTCATGCAGTTTAACATTTTTTTTTTTTTTTTTTTTTAAAATTTAGCACCTTAGTGTTCGGAACATCTAAAATCTTATCAGGATATCAAGTTGTTCTAAAATTACATGAGTAAACCAACGCCTTTATTGAGACACAAACTTCTCTTTTGAATCTTTTTATTAAATCTTATAATTTTTGTTGTTGTGATGAAAGTTAGATCTGAAATTGTTTTTTTTGTTTCTTTTCTTAGTTTAGTTATTCTTTTAGCTTTTATATTTTTCTAAGAATTTTTATTTTCTAATTAAATTAAGTTTTCATATTAAAAAGGTGGAATTAATCATGAGAAAAGTACATGGTAAACCATGATTTTGAGTCTTTTATTTATGTCTCTTTAAAAATTTGGGTGCAATTGCTGTCTTTAATTGATTGTCAATTGTTTATTTTTAAATAGAGTGGAATAAATAATATTATTTTTTTATCATCTTGAGTGATATTTTTATTTTATTTTTCCCAATTACCCTTTCATATTTCAAAAAGTGGTCTCAAGATATCTATATAATATACTCTTTTTCTAATAATAGGGTGCTTAGGAGAAAATTTTCCAAGCAAAAAAAAAAAAAAAAAAATCTAAATTGGAAAAGTGTCATGCTATAAGGTACCGAAATGTTCTTATTTTTTTCTCTTTTTAATGGCTTGCCACTTTCAATGTCGTTTTGTTGCGAGTGGTTGTTGTAACTTGTAGGCATTATTTATCGTCCTTTTATTGTTGGATGTATTTTTATCGTCGTTTATTTGCATTATTTTCGTTTATATGTTTTTTCGTCTTGCCCTTTGATTTCCATGTAGCTCTTTTTTATTTTATTTTTTAAAATTTAAATTTGAATTCTAGTTTAAATTTTACTTTTTTTTTTTTTAAAGTTTAGTTGTCGTTTCCCTTGTAATATTCCTTTTATCTTGTTGATGTTTATACGTCGGTATCTCATTATGGGGTTTATGCAAGTTTGCCTTGTGAATTTATAGAGATTTGATTAAGTTTGAACTATTTTGCACATTTACCCACTAAACATATAAGTATTTATTAACTTCCCCCTAAAACTTAAATTTTGACAATTTGTCACCTACCTTGCAAAACAATTGCAAAATGCCCAATTTTCTTTTTAATTTTGCTCTGTTTTTTTTTTTTTTTTTTCATATTTAAACGATTGAAAGTTGAAAAATTAAGAAATTTGTGTTTTAATTTAAATTATGACGTTGAAACTCTTAGTCAAATGTGCTTTTTAGTTACTAATTTAACATAACCGTTATCAAAATGGGGCCACCTTACAACTGTTTTGTAAATTGAATGAATAAATTGCTAAAATTAAAAATTTAAATGGCAACCTGTCAAACTACTATAAATTTTAAGGGCAAATGTGCAAATAACCTTTCATTCCGCATCTAAACATTATTTTAGTTGTCGTTTCCCTCCTCTCTTTCTTACTCTATCGCGTATCTGTGCGAGTCTTTTTTGGCCCAAAAATAAAATTCCCAAATTGCTCACCGAAGTCTCGAAAACCCCAATAAGCAAATCCCGAACAATCCACCGACCACAGCGTCTTCCGCCGCCGTCGAGCACCGTCCGATAGCGAAATTGTGAGTTTAGGGTTAGTAATTTCTCTCCTTCTTACTCATCTGGTTCATCAATTTTGCCTTTTGAGTTCTTGATATTCGTAGATATGCCTATTCTTGTTTGTTTTCGTTTTTTCGTTAAACGAAGAATGGATTTGGTGTTTTGTGGTCCGTTTTTGCTCTTCGTTTGTATCAAGCCGTCTTCTTTTTTGGTTTTCTTTTTTGGGTTCTAAATTCGACGCATGGGTTTTTTTTTTTTTTTTTGTGGCGGTGAATCTTTATGCATTTGTAATTTCTAATTAGTCTCCTTTTGATTTTCTGTTTTTTTAGTAATTTATGGCATGTTTTTTGTAGGAAGTTTGAGCTAACCAAGATAATATCTGATTTATGGTGGATTTTGAAGCATTTGTGATGGAACACTTTTTTTTTTTTTTTGGGCGTATCGAATAGTGGATTTTGTGATTTATGACATGTTTTTGCTGGACAAAATGAGCTAATCAAGTTAATACTTTGTATGTACGGGGTTCTAAATTTCTCTAATTTGTCACACATGGGTAGTTCTATAGATATAGAGATTGTGGAGGTTATAGATTGTGGTGGGTTTTGAAGCATTTGTATCCTAGGTAATATTCATCTTAGGGCAATAATTTCTTTATCTACCTCCTGGCTTTTAACTCTTCCGCTTCATGTTTTCACCTTTTGATTTCACTCTTTCGATAGTATTTGTTATTATGCATCTCTTTTATATGTTGGTCCTGAATTAGAGCTCTTAATTTTTCACATATATATATATTTTTTATTCCGAAGAACGGATGTTGTGTTTTGTAACCCATTTCTTTTGTTGGACGTATGAGCTGATCAAGCTAATACTATGTGTGTATGGCGTTCTAAATGTCACACAAGATCATTCTAATTTCGACGATATAGTTACTGTGCATATGATAGTTTGTGGTGATTGAAAAAATGTGTATTGGTGTTTCAGGTAATTGAGGTAGTAGTGACTAGTGAGCAAGTATGACGACTGCAGCTCGACCAACGTGGGCTCCTGCTAAAGGTGGAAACGAGCAAGGCGGTACTCGGATTTTTGGCCCTTCACAAAAGTACTCATCGAGGGATCTCGCTGCACATACGACTTTAAAGTCCAGGTAAAACATCAATTTTCCCTGACAAAGTTGTCTGATAATACGAGTATTTATTTCATTATCTAAATTTCCAAAACGAGCTTTATGTATCAACTCTCTGCTGAGATTATTGTTCTCATGGATCAAACTTGAAAAATCTAACAATCGTACGACTTAAGTTGATATAAAAATTTGAACAAAGCCAGATGTTATCATTGTGCAAAATGTATTATGCATTTCCAATGTATGAATCTTCTTCAAAGGGATACTCTGAGAGGTACTCTTTTGATGTCGTTATTTTGCTCAACAATACATCAGTGATCTTTGTTCTTTGTCATCCTTGTTAGCATATGGAGTTCTATCTATCTTTCTTTCTTTCATATTTCTTATTTGATTACAAGTTTAACATGCTATTTATTATTGTGTTGTAAATGATAGGAGAGAAGGGCAGGACACGCAAGATGAATTGCAGAAGAGGAACCTCCGTGAGGAGCTGGATGAGCGTGAGCGAAGGCATTTCTCATCAAAGGACAAGTCTTATGGTAAGATATTCAACTTGCCTTTCCTCTTGCAAAGAGCAGTATCCATATTTCCTCTCTGTTGTGCCATCCTACTTTGTTCTCTATGATTTTGGCTTACATTGAATTGGACTGTATGTTGTTGCAGATGACAGAGATAGACGGAAGGGAAGCCATCTTCTGTTGGAAGGTGAAATTATAGTTCCTGTATTTAGCAGTTTAAAACTACAAGTCTGTTGGCAATTGACTAATTTATTTATTCCAATAGGGACGAAGAGGGACATTGAAGATCGCATCATACCACGTAGTGTAGATGCTGATGACTCTGATGTGGAAGCCAAAAGTTATGATGAGAGGTAGCTACTCTTTGTTGAGTTGGAATCTTTTGTTTACTTGTAATCAACTGTGTTGTGAACTTTTTCATTTGGTAGATGAGTGCGATTTTTTTTTTTTTTCTCTCAGTGTAACCATCTTCATCTATGATACATGATGGATGCATTATGCTTGTGTTTTGATTTTTTTTTTTTTTTTTTTAAATATGCTGTTTTCCTGGCTTCTTTTATTGATTTCAGGAACCATCTAGGTTATCTCCATTTGTTTGCTGTCTTGTTTCGCTTTATTTTTAATGTTTCTGAGTCTAGTGAGCTAGTTCCATGTTGTTGATGGGGAATTGTTTTTCTTTAATTGTTTGCATTTCTGAGCTCATTTTTCCTAGGCGGAGGTGCTTTTGATGTAAACAGGAATTGTTGGCTTGTTATTTTCTTGCAACTATAAATTAGCCTGGCTTATGTAGCCCTTTGTACATTAGTTTATGAGATTACTGGAATAGTGGTTCACATGTTGACCGTTGGGGCGTTTATTGTCACTATTAAGCTGAAATAATCTTTCTTTTTTGAATAGCGACGATGATGATGATGATGATGAGGATGAGGACGACACAGAAGCTCTGATGGCTGAGCTTGAACAGATAAGGAAGGAAAGAGCAGAGGAGAAGCTACGAAAGGTAAGATTCACACTTGTAATTCTTAAGGGGATGTTTGGTATCTAGATTCGTTTCCTGATTTGAATCATGGTTCGTGGTTCGCTACAGTATTTTCTCTCACAAAAAATACACGTAAATCAAAAATGGTTCTAATCACATGGTTCTAATCTATGAACTAAACGTCTCATAAGATATTCTCGTTGGGCCTTGACAAATCTATGAAATAGAAATTTTCCTTCACTCTTGCATTATCTAGTTTTCCTGAATTCATCGTGTATGAGAGTTAGTTGATGAATGTTGTGCCCCCAACAAAGTTAGTCTGCCTCGTACCTCTTAGGTGTTTATCTACAAAGAGGCCGGCATTTTATCATTACGATAACAATGATTTTTTGGCTTCATTTGCGTTGACACTTGATTTATGCATCTGCACAGGAACGACAAGAACGGGAGGAAGAGCTTAAAGTCAAGGAAGCTGAGCTTCTAAGAGGAAATCCACTGCTTAATAACCCAACATCTTTTAATGTGAAAAGAAGGTTAGAGTTGGTTAAAAAGCCATTTGCCTATCAGTTTCTTTACCAACCTTTGTTTTTTACTCTTAATTGTCTGTCTGTCCTAATTCCACCATCTTGCTTTTCTTCACTTGGCTCAGATGGGATGATGATGTGGTATTCAAAAACCAGGCTCGCGGTGAAACCAAGACTCCGAAACGTTTCATCAATGACACCATCAGGAATGACTTCCATAGGAAGTTCCTGCAGAAATACATGAAGTAGATGAAGAGAAGTGAAATGGTTCTTATTTCTTAACTGTTCTATGTACCAAAATTAGAAATTGACCATATACTGGACCTGAGTTTTGGTTGTGCTGAGAACAAATCAGTTTGCCAAAGTTTAAGTGTTAAATGCTATTCCTTGTATAAGTTTGCAAACATTGTCCTTTTATTTTAGTAATTGATGATAAGATTGGGGTGCCATCTACTCCCTTTTATTAACATCTATGAAAAAGAAATAAAAAAATAGAAAATAACTCACTTGAAATATGATTCTTTGCTGCCCAGAACTGTTCATGAATTTTTCTTTTAAAAAGTCACCAAATTGGTCCCACATTGACGCGGGATCTACTGTTTTGTTCTGTTTTGTTTTGTTTTAACTCTACGTCGTCTGGCCATGCTTACCCAATTGTTCGTTGTTTTGGCGTTCACTGTCTAGTGATGTCGTTTAACTTATGTTATGTGTCGTTGGGGTCGGGGTGTGGTTTAGTTTATGTTATGTTTCGTTGGGTTGTTGTGTTGCTTTTAGCCCTTGTTGTCGTTGAGAGAACTCAGACCTAAACATTGTATTTTGGCCGTTAGTTGCTGAACTATGAGTATGGTAACATTTTAGTTTTTGAACTTTTAATTTCGGCAAATTAAATTTTAATATTATTTTTGGACGATTATTTCTTGTATTTTTGTTTTTTGTTGAAGCAAGAACTCTCTAAATTTTAGTTAAATTCTAATTAAAGTACTTAGAAAATTATTTTAATTAATAACTTTTTAGTAAATCATTCTAACTATACTCTTTATTTTAATTAAATATAGATTATTTTAATATTTGTTGAGTTTAAAATATAAATATTTTTTAATCAAAGAATAAAATAATAAAAAAGAATAAATAGTTGGTAATTTCTTGTTAGTTAATTTAACTAGTGGAAAATATTTTAATCAAAATAGTTAACCATTTAGTTAATGGTTGGAGTAGAAAAAAAATTAAAAAAAAGTTAAATCATTAACTATTTTGACTAAAAAAATAACATGGGTAATATGGTTGTAGTTGTTTTTAATCCTTTGTTTTTGTTTTCTCATTTGTTGCAAGAAGTAATTTTTGGGCTTTTTTAATGATGCACTATAACCATCTCTCTTTACTATTATTCCTCAACTGAAAAGAAAAGATATACGACTATTGAAATTCATTAATATTCGTACACATCCAAATTTTCAATTTCATTTATCAACAAGACAAATAAATTGGAGGTCTCTCATTACAACATGTCATTAGGGGATCCAATTGTTAAAAAACTTGTAGCACAAAGAGGGGTGAATTTTCAAAATGAAAATCCAAATGTCACACGTTAGAAAGTTTGGGCAGCCTGTGGCACAAATTCCTTAAAAAGAAGATTTTAAAGTATGAAAAAAAAGAGACAAATACTCTTTAGAATGCACATGTTTTAATTTTTTTTATCATTTACACTTAATTAATATCTTTTAATTAAAGAACTATATTAGTTGCAATGGTATTAATTAAGAGTAAAATGTAAAAATATTAGATCAATGCATTTAAAAAGTGAGTTCATTAATTTTTATTTTATTGTTTTTTTTTTCTAGTAATTCACTAATTTTTAGTTTTTTTTTTTCGGTTAATCGTTCACTAATTTCTAGTTGTTTGTGATATTTAGCGCTATTGGTTCTCCATAATGTTATTCTAATAAGTAATAAGGTACTACGTGGGTTCTTTTCATTTGGTTGAATGGGATAAAAAAGGAGTCAAACTTGTCATTTTAGATTTTTTTTTTCTTGGTTTTCTTTTGTCTGTCATATTTAATGTAAATAACTTTCTTTTCTTCAAAGGTTTATTTTAGGTTGAGAAAAGAACGCGGAAGTCCAAAGGGCAAGTAAATTTCCACGATATTTCTAGCAAAAAACGTCACTTCCACGACGTTAGCCCAAAAACAAAAAAAAGAAAAAGAAAAGAAAAGAAAAAGAAAATGAGTCTTAAGAGAGTTTAGTTCATAAATTAGAATCATGTGATTAAAATTATTTTTGATTTATATGTATTTTTTATAAGAGAAAATACTGTAATAAATTATGAATCATGATTCAAATTATAGTTTGAATTCTGAAACTAAGTATCTCCTATTGAGGCAGATTACGAACAAAAAAAAAAAACTTTTTCTAACGAGGTGCGGAGACAAAGCATTTTACAATAATTGGTGTAGTTTACTGTCATTCCTCTGGTCTCAGCCCCAAGAGCCACCAAGAACCAGATCTTCCTTTCTTTCTTCCCTATTTTCTCATTTGTCATCCAAGTATCGTTGTCCTTGCAAGAGCGCCCAGAGGTATTTCATTTTCATTGTTTCAGCTTACTTCTTTCTCATTTTCTTCGTTTTCTGCTCCTAATTTGAGCTGTTGATGCTTTTACTACTATATTGATCACTTGGTTACTATATTGGAACTTGGAATTATTATTATTATTATTATTATTAATAATTGTTATTATCATTGTTATTATTATTATTATTAATTATTGTTATTATTATTATTATTAATTATTGTTATTATTATTGTTATTATTATTATTAATTATTGTTATTATTATTGTTATTATTATTATTATTATTGTTATTATTTTGTTATTATTATTGTTATTATTGTTATTATTATTATTATTGTTATTATTATTATTGTTGTTGTTATTATTATTATTATTGTTATTATTGTTATTATTGTTGTTATTGTTATTATTGTTGTTATGGTTATTATTGTTGTTATTATTATTATTGTTGTTATTATTGTTATTGTTGTTATTATTATTATTATTGTTATTATTATTATTATTATTATTGTTATTATTATTATTTTTCTTATTATTATTGTTATTGTTATTATTTTATTATTATTAAAAAAAAATAATCTTTGCTTGTATATCATTGTTATGGTTGTGGAGACATGCCAGCGTTGATCAGTTGATTTGATCTTAATTTGGTTCTTTCATATTGCGAGGATTGAGTGATAAAGTTTATTTGGTTCTTTCATTATTCTTATCAGCTAGCCGATCTTGGTGATTGATCATTAACATTCATAGCTTTAGGAAATTGGGGTTTAGATAATTAAATGATTTTTGATTTCTGTCTTTGAGATATAAATGATTTGGGACTTTTTTATTTTATTTTATTGGGTTATTTAGGATATTTTTTTTTGGGGATTAAGTTCAGTTCATATTTGCCAATGCCAATATTAATTGAGGTTTTTTAATTGGGTGGTACTAAAGGAATTATTGGTGACGGTCTAAGCTTTGGTAAGACTTTTGTTAGTGGCTCCAAGAAATTTGTTCTATTCAGGAGAGCTCTCTCAACTTATGCAAGAGCCTCATTTTGGAATGAGGTACTATTAGAGCGACAACTGATTAATAAGATTATTTTTAATTTTATTTAGAATTGTACATGTAACAATCATAGCTAGCGAGCGTCGTCATTTTTCAATATGTTATTCAGATAAATAGAATTATGATTACTCTAAAAAGAAATATCATTTTGCAAAACGTTGCGAGTCTGAACTGAATTTTAGAGATAGCTAGGGTCTTATATGTGGCCTTATAATATGTATGAGACATTGTTTCAAATGACTTTTGGCTGTTTTATTTAACAGCCAAGTTCCATCTGGGTGGTGCTATTAATTCCTGTGTGGCGACGCCCTTCAATTACACGTTCAGGGGAAGATGCAAAACAATGAATCTGGCGTAGTGGCCATGTTGGTATTCGAGTTTAATTCGTTTAAGAAAAGTTTTGAGTTTTATTGTTATTACTGTTAAACTTATAGGAAATTTCTATGGTAGGAACTGCCTTTCTTCACTATAGGTATATATAAGAACTGCTGTTTTAACGGCCTGACTAATTTTTCAATGGTATGATCTATGAGTATGTGCGCTAAAAATTCGCAATACACAATATAAAGCTGCTCCTATTTATAAAACAAAGCATTGAGAAGTAAATTTAACGGTTAAAACAACAGTACCTGTGAGCAGTGGAAAAAGTACAATTCCTACCGTAGTAGTTTTAATAACTTCTAATGCTATTGTATGAGCATTTAGTAATCCAATCGAGACTGTTTTGTAATCAAATCGAGACCAACGAATATCCAGGACACAAGGTGATGAGGTGAGGACATTGCATACAAATGTTTTGCCCCTCATTGGCGCTTCAGCTGCGTTCCTTCAGCTACAGCCAGAGTCTCCATTTCAGACACACTACAAGACCATGGTGACCTCTCTGATTGCTGCCTGTGTCTATGTCGTGACCGGACTAGCGAGCATCAAGTTCAATGGTTTTATCAAAGAGGTGATCACAGAAGTCAGCCTTTTGTCAGGGCTGCTTTCTCCCCTGTTGATGTTTCTCACCATGTTTCCCCTTTTGGGGTGGGTCTGTTTGGTTTTGTGAGCGCTTTCGGTTTTCATAATCGCTTATAGAATGATATCTAGTCGGCATCTTAAACTGTCACAACAAGACAATCAGCTCAGGAGCAGACCAAGGTAAATTTTCTTACCTACACAGTATTGATTACATGTTCAAGACACATGTTCTTCCTAATCTCTTTGTATCGATCTTGTGCATAGCGGCCCGATCCTCTTTGTTTGTGGGCATGTTTCTCGCTCTCTTACTTCTTGTCTCTTTAAAGTTGTTTGACTACCTAGTTAAGGATCACTAGTTTGGAACAGAAACCACTATAGCTTAGCCAATTAGGAATAGGTGGACGAAAATCGAAATGAAGAAGAACTTGATTAAGTAGTCTGAACTATAATGAACAAATTATTTGTTAAATACCCAAATGTCCATTAAGAAAATCGAAACCAACTTTTTTGTAATGTATCATTTTCAAAAGTAAATATACGTGTATCCTGTAGCGTAAAATACGAACATATTGCTTCTCTCTAGACTTGCATATATTCTTATATATATATATAT